GCGGGATCTTTTTCGTGACAGCACCTACTGCGAGACAATTAATCGGTTTATACGGTCTCATCCGAAGGGCCGGTCTTCACGTCCCGCAGTGGATTCGAACCCGCGACGTAAGGATCATCTCCTTACACCGCGAGTCTAGAGAAAACGCAAGAACCACTGGGCCACGCGGTCGACCGCTAACATTTGGTCTCATGCAAATATACATGAAGACATACATGACAGTTTGGCAGCTCAGTGTGATGTTAAATGAGATGACTATACTATAAGGAAGAAGGTCCAGGCTGTCGATGAATTTGTACTAGTGTGAAATCATTTTTTAATGCGGTTTAATGTTTGTTGTTTTTTGTGGAAGAAAGAGTCCAAAGCATTTAGGGCTACAATTTAATGGGTTTTTTTTTTCTCCAACTAGGAAATAAAATCCCAAAGAACCATTTCCCCCTGAAGCACTATAAGATTTGTTGAGTGATTTTACAGTATATAACAATTTTTTTTTTTTGTTTTTTTTTTGTTCAAACTCTTGAATTCTAATTACAGGAATTGTAAAATAAAAATGTTGTAAAACCGTATAACAGAACAGCATCCCCCCCAAAAAAGCTTTACTAATATATATATATATATATATATATATATATATATATATATATATATATATATATATATATATATATATATATATATATATATATATAAAACGTACTTAATATGTTTTCACACTATATATTTTAGGAAAATTATAGGAATTCATTGAAAATCATAGTAAAAGTTATGTGTGAAAATATCATGATATTATCGTGATATTTTTTGGGGGAAAATCGTGATATATCGTGATACAAAATTTTTGGCGATACCCATCCCCATTTCCTTGGACATGTGATTAGCTATCTAATAAAGTTTGCGTCTGCAGATTCTACACATTCTTTGAATCCCTCCTAAACATAAACAAAGTCCGAGAAAATGATTTACCCAACTATTTTTCATCGAAGCAGGCCGTATACATATAATATGCCACTTTTGTTTGCACTTGAATATCATGTGTGTGCATGAACCATTCGATTGTAGTTAAAGATAATGCCTTCTAAAACACTTCTATAATACCATGATATCCTGAATGAACACTTTCAAATTCTGAAGTTTTTTCAATCTTAATTTCAAATTCTGAATTTTTTTTTTTTTCAATCTTAATCTTAATGATAATTTCGTACTTCATTAATCTTCGGCAATGGAATACTTCTCAACATTTTGCCTCATGAGCCACTTTACGACTTTACGATCAGTACCTATAATCTCCTATGCAGAGTTGTCGTTCGTTCCTCTCTCAGACATGAATGTATGAGCCGATGGTAGAGAGTGCAGTATCTAGAGAGAGCATAAAAAGTGCTTCCATATTTGACTGTTGAGAAAAATAGTACAGTCTATTTTTAAACTTAATACTGAAGACTGTCTGAAAATAGAAAAGAGCTTATACTGTATATTTCATTAATTATTGGTTCTTGACATAGAGCCTCTTGTCACTGAATCCATTCGGCCATGACGGCCGACATCTGATATTTCAATGAAGCAGAAGTAATACGATTTACTGATTAAAATAACTTTGATTGTAATAAAGCTTAGCGATTATTTAGTTCTACTTAGATATGAATCACTACAAAACTACAGTGAAAAACACTATTTAACATTAACTTGTCACAGAGTACAGTTTATATCGAAATAATAGAGGCGCTGATCCAGGAATTTTTCCAGGGTGATCCACATCAACTATTTTGACAACCCTCCTCAAAAACAACGTAAACAATTGCCCAAATGTGAAAACTCTATTGGGGGGGGGGGGGGGTAGGGGGAGAGACATTTTCTCAAGGCATTTTTTTCAGATACATGACTCTTCTTATCTTTTCCAGAGGGGTTGATGTTTCCAAGGGGAGTTCAACATTATTTTTATCGTTACTTTTACATAGGTACATGTACATATTAACTCTGAAAATCCTAGGGTACACTCCCCTCTAGATCCACGCATGTAATATACTACTGATTTCAAATCAGATCTGAACGGTGATGGGACTTATTTATCGGTAAACTTATTAAAACAGTAAGTTTTGCTCCCTTGTCGCGACGGAGACAGGTAGCAATGAAGGGATCAAAGGGCAAAATCGATAATGCGAGGAAATGAGATTACAGACAAAAACGGCAATGCGAGTGAGTGAGACGACATAGCGAGGAAGTGGGATTGCAGACTAAAACGACAATGCGAGAAAATGAGATTTATATTAACAGACTAAAATGACAATGCGAGGAAGTGAGACTCAATGCAAAACGACAATGCGAGGGAGTGAGATTACAGACTAAAACGACAATGCGAGGGAGTGAGGTTTCAGGCAAAAACGACAATGCGAGGAAGTGAGACTCTAGCCAAACGACAATGCGAGGAAGTTAGATTACAGACAAAAACGACAACGCGAAGAAGGCAACAACGACAATGCGATCGAGGAAATGAGATTTCAGGCAAAGGAAGTCATTTCAGGGGACTAAGCGGTCCCTTTGTATTGTCGCCCCTCATGTCCTCGTCTTCGCGTTATATCCCCCACTTGCCCTTTTGAGAAGGGGATGAGTATGATCTTAAAGTTATAGCTTAAACTAATTTCCAGTAAAGAGTAATAGTAATTGGTAACTAGTAATTAACTAGTCATTTTTTTTAATAATTTCACGAGAGACCAACTTCATCTAGGCTCTAAGTTTTAATTCTAAAAATTGACAATGAATACATTTCCTTGGGAACATTAATGATTTGATTATTTATCTGCAACATATCCTCGGAAAATCCTCTTTAAAGTCAGCGATTCATATTTTTTTTTTATCTTGAGATCGTTAATAACCTGCACTATTTCTATAACAAAGTATTTACAATGCTTTATATAAAATAAGATTCCGCTAAAGAACTTATTGCAGAATTTAACACATTTTGTAACACACTAAAAACGTTTTAAACAAACATTTTGAAACAAACTGAAGCAATATATTAACAATATAAAAATATGTGTAAAAATAAAATTAGTGACCTTAAGGTATAGACACATTACTTTTAATTTTCTCTAATCAGTTGGACCTTTTCAGTTCAATATTATTGGTAAACTGTTTGTTCCCGTGTTAAAAATGACCCTTGCACTAAAGAACACTAATACATATTGCATGTTTGGAAACTGGGTTAATGTTCAGAAAAAAATAATTGAAAAGGAAGAGCGAATCGACTTGGAAATATTGCCGATTTTGACCTTGTATTTAGCTTAGACTGTACATATTAGACTTAATGTACTTAACGTCAAATCGCCCCTAAATGTGTCACTTTTAGACATTTTAAATTTTCATATAAAATGAGATTAAGTCTAAGCAGTACTTAAAAGGGATTAATTAATTAACACCCAGCAAATATATATCAAGTACAGATTTCACTTTTAAACACACATAGTGCATACTGAAGTTGTGTTCAGGTATAAGCAACTTTTACAAAATATTCATGGAGGGATAAAGAGAAATCAGTATGATTCAGGAATTATAAATTAATTTAAGTATCATGTCAACATCTCGACCCACATTTTTCAGGTAGGAGCATAATTCAAACTGTGTTATAATATAAAAATGTATATATACATTTTATTTTATTTGAAATTTCACATCAGTGGGAATAAACGTACCTGCAGTATATAGTGTTTGAAGTTTTAGGTACTACATTTTAATGCCATTTTTTCTCTTCTTTGGATAAAATAATGTTTTGAACATACATGTTCACATCAGGAACGTAGCATCGTTTTTGAAAGTGCGGGAAGGGGGGGGGGGGGCAGCCAGAGAAAAAGATTCAACTAACCTGAAAAAAACTTGACAAGCAAAACAAAAAAAAGGAAAATTGTCCAAACTCGAAAATTCTATTTTGTGTGTAAGTGTGTGTGTGTGTGGGGGGGGGGGGGTAAAAAGAGTAAAAAGTTATGTTTGGTAAAACAGGGGGCCCCTGACCCCCCCCCCCCCCCCGATGCTACGTGCATGCACATATTCTTAAATTGCCCCTAAGTTTTTTGAGTTTGGAAACTGAGACCTGTGTTGAAAATTGGGGTATGGGCTTAAGTCATTATAAAATTTTCTGCTCATAAACATATTTTGAACAACCTTTAATTTTCTCATTTCATAATTTTGCTTTTTATTCAATTGCTTTCATTTGTCAATGAAACATGTGTACAGAGGTGATAATCGTGCTGCTTGTGAAACTGAAGCTATCAATAACATATAAGATATATACATGCATGCTATAAATGTTTAAACGGTGCTTGAATGCAAGCATTTATTGTATACTTCGTTCAAAGGTACAAAATGATCATTTATATAATGATTAATCAGTGATCGTTGGATATCTTACTATAAATGTATCAAAAGGTCTGTTTAACAGACAGTTAAAGTGTCGGTTTTAGACATTTCAACGGAATGACAGGACGCTTTAGCGGAAATTATGTGGACGTCTTAGACCATTTTCGCGGAAATTAAAAAATGCAAGGAGACATTTTAGCGGATAATTAGTTTAGGTATAATGAATTTCTCCCTTCTCTGTTAGACAAAATATAAATCTCTTGTGTCCAAGGGGAGGTGAAAGTAGGTTTTTGAGCAGGACAATAAACAGCAAACTACTAAAATATCAAATCAGCACTTGAACACAACATATTTACATCTCAGTATTGGCCCTGTATCTACCTCTACCACGTCCATACTCTACAATGTCCCAATAATAAATGATAGATACATGTCAATTTTGTGCACTTTTGGGGGATAAAAAATCATTAAACCCCAAAGATGATTAAGCTAATATATGTTTATCGTAAATTATTCTTATTTGTATGAAACACCGGTATTACTCGTTGGGGATTCACCACACAAACACCAATTAACACCAACCTTTTAATCATGCATTTGTATTAGAGTAATGCATTTCATTTTGAAAAACTACGAAAAAAAGTCGAATCCATGCAGCTTAAGGCTAATTGGCACAAACCACGCAAGAAACATATTGTTTCTCCTTGTATGGCGGGCACGGCAAAGAACCACATCTCGCTCGAACTGGAAAAATCAGCCTCCCGTCCGCGTTAACGGCCCGAGTTCCCTCCAAGTATTCCGGGTTAAGGTCAACACAAATATAATCTGACCCCTTATAGTCTGACCTCTCTGCACTCAGAAACCCACTGTACTGTAATTTCCAAGTTTGAGGACACACAAGTTTTGCCGGGATCATTAATGCGGAAGTAGACGTCTGCGCGTGGCAAACTGCGCATGGTACATCATCATCATATGCCACGTTCTTGTAGTTTAACTGGTACTCAGCTCCGAATATATAGGCTGGTCCTGGGTTATCGTCAGTTAGGGCGGGGAAATCTGCCGGAAGTGAGTCGGGGTTGTGAGGCAAACACAGAGTTGTGACGCCACTTCCTTGATTGTACATACCGCCTCCTGTTACTCCTGAAACATAAATGTAAATATATCATTAAAAAATATAATGAGTGGATATTTCTAACCTTCTTATTTTAAAGAGCTGTAAGTCTTTTGTCTTCTGTTTTGAAAATCTTCAACAAAACCGCAAGGTCAAATAAACAGTGATTTCAAGTAAAACGACATATTTGCCGAAATAGTGTTACTTGAAGACAGATAAGTTCTTTCGAAAATAAATATTTATATATGAAATCTTTCTTTTTTAGTTTACAAACTTGTTCGAATAGTGCAAACATCTTAATATTGACACAAGCGACACGATAAGCTCGACAAAACACATCTGGTATAATGAAATCGTAAGCATTTTACGTATAAATACTATTTCTTCTAAAAATAGTTAGCTGTATACCAAAAGGGACGGTGAACCTTAGAGAATTATACAGACTATGTCACTTTGAAGGCTTGTAACTGTGCAGTTCTTTCGTAAACGGAGATTTGTGCAATTTATATACCTAACATGTCTGGTATTATTTAAAAGCTTGGAGCAGTTTAAGGCTGAACACGATTCGTAAAAGGAAGAGAATTATTGTTGTCGGCCATATTAGTTTTCCCAAGACTGTCATTCTCCAACCGCTATATATATAAGCAATGTATTTCGCTTCATGGAGTTTACCTGAACAAAACAAGATGTGTTTGTGAAACACTATGCCCCCGATGGTTACACAATTCTGGAATGGGACGTAGACTACAGTGCAATAGTTATGGCCAATGTTAAAGTTTTTCAAATGTAGGTCAAAAGGTCACAGTTGAGGTCACATGATCAAACATTTCTGTACCAATGGAAAGGTCTTGTCATAATGAACACTCATGTTAAAGCCTTACCCTTGACAGCGCAATAGTTGTGGGCTAGGTTAAAGTTGACAACAGACAGACAAACAGACAGACAGGACAAAACAATATACCCCCGGGATCTTTCGATCCAGGGGCATAATTAAGTTTCTTTCATTGTCATTATCGTAGAATTGGGCGCGACAAAAATGACTTCTGTATGCTTCTGTCACGTCAGGAAAAATAGTTACCAAATATCTTCTATTTCAATTGCGCGTGTCAATTCAATACAAAGTGAAATAAACGAAATGCACGTTCAATGAAATAAAACGTAAACAAAATGACAAGTAAGATATACACGTACTACTAGCTGCAATAATGTAGCCCTCTCCGAATTTTTTTAATCTGATATTTTCAGGAGAGGGCTACAATTCCACTGCATCTCCGTAATGGTGCAAATATATTTTTTAGATACGGGCGACTGCAGGCAAAATAAATTGTTTTTGCATTCAACTTACTTCCAATAAGACGGAATTTTTTATTCACTGTCAACATCATAGCCCTTTATAAGCGAAAACAAAGTAAAATAAATCTGCGTGTTTACCAGTCGTTCTCTTCAGCAGCCATGTTCTCGCGTGATGTTCTCGCGTGATGTACAGAGACTTGCGCTTGAATTTTAGAAGCACTTGATAAAGTAAATGTCGGCGTTGATAAATGTTTGTGTTGTATGATATCACTAAACATCGATAAATAAAAGCATCCCATGTGATAATTTTTTCATAAACAGTGATATTTATGCTTAAAATAAGGGAAATCCTAAACGATCCGCTCCCCTAGATCCCCATTTCTCATTGGTTGTCCCAAAATAAAATCGATCAAGGTCAGTAAACATGGCGGATAAATTCAAGTTGTGATGTTGACATACACGAAAAATAACCGATATACGGATTGTTCTGTATATTTTTGGATCAATTCATGTCTTGCATAACTACATTTTATGAGTTCAGGTAAGATATGTTAATAAAATACCCACTTACTGATAATTTGAGCCGAAATCTGTGCGGTAGTGAATCACTCCCGCACTTGCACCATTACGGAGATCCTAAGGAGTTGTAGCCCTCTCCCCCCCCCCCCCCCCCCCCAAAAAAAAAAAAAAAAATCGGAGAGGGCTACATTATTGCAGCTAACGTACTACATGCAGCAACGGCCAGGTAAAAGCAGTCAGGTGTAACGAATGCGAAGGTTTTATATAACCCAGTGCTGATATAGGAGATAGAAAAACTAATATGGTGTATGCCTATTTACGAGTCGTGTTCAGTTTTAATTTGCATATACAACTGTACCTGAATAAAGTGTCGTGGTACCGTTGACAGAAGGACAGGATGTTCTTCCCCAGATTGTAAACACAGCTCCTAAAACATTCCATAAACAGTAAGTAAACATTAAAGGATCATTGGGTAAACATTAAGTACTAATAAACATTAAATAAACATTTAAAAGTAAAAGAAAAGTAAAGATTAAGTATATATATCAAGTAAACATTGAATGAAAATAGAAGTGAACACTTAGTAAACATACGAATGATGAAAAAAAAAACACCGAGTAAACACTTTGAAAACATTCAGTAAACATTCGTATACGTATCGTCATTTTATTTTGCTAATAAAACTTAATTTCAGAGAAAAGGGGTCCTCATAGCATAAAATAAAAGATCTTCATCTCATGTATTCTGCTGCTATTTTTACTTCCTTACAGTATTCACTGCAATTATAAATAACAGTTGTATTAAATATACTTACTGCTGCCAAACTTCTCTAGTTGGGTTGAATATGAAGCATTTATTTTCCATTGTTATACTGATACTTGAGTGCCACTGAGATTAACATTGATAATAATGCAGTACTAACCATTACTTGACCCTCTGACATTAGTCTGCGCCTCAAGCGCCTGGATCCTCCTCTGCATTTCCTGTAGCTGTACTTGCATCATTTGTGGATCACTTAACAATAAACGCCTATCTCTGTTTTCCTCCCCCGCCCACCCCAAAACAGCCAGATTTATCCAAAGAACACTGAATAATATAGCTGACATTTTGTCTCTATATAGAGTACATGACAAGAGTGATTTTATCATTGATAAGGATTTACTAATAAGTACACCGTCTATACATCAGAATTTGACCCCCAAAACTTAGATTCTTTTATTCTTAAGTTATGGATTACATATAGTCATTATTATTCTATGCCGTATTTTTCCTGTCACGCTGCATGTTTATCTACCGAAAGTCAGCTCTTTTGTAGTGTTTTGTAGTGTTTACAGTATTTTCAGTGTTTTGCTGCTGAAATTCTTGATCTGTTCATGAAGACATTCTGAACTTTTGAGATGCTTACTTATTTCCTGTCAAGATAATTAAGGTGCAGGTGTAAATTTAAGGAAAAATTAGAAGTTTTTCACTTCTTTGCAATATTTTGCAATGCATTAATTTATTTTGCAATAACATGTACACCCTCTCTGTTCCGTTGGTAGATTGTTGTGGGATCACTCTCTACTTAAATCCTGTATTTCCCTTTGCAATGTCTCTATTTGCACTTGAAAAGTGTGGGGGACTTTTAGAATTAAATATACGGCGATCCTCTGATTTAATGTCAAATCCGATCCCCCCCCCCCCCCAGGGGCGAGAGATGTGATAGCTATAGTAGTGTTCCCAGAACAAAATTTAACATATCAAACCCGAAATAAGGGACCACTAAACTACCAAGATAAGAAAATCGCAAGTACATACATGTACAACTATTAGGGTTTTCCACTCTGTTATACATGTACATGTATATACTAACTGTACCGTGATAGCTTTTCTATAGAATCTCGAGCCATTTATAATTTTATCTGCATGTTCATATGAATTAATAACAAATATACAAATGTATGCTCTACAACACTTGAACGTATGATAGAGCACAAACTGATCTTTGATAAATGCATTGAATAGTCCATCTTTCGCATATTTAAGTTTATAGTGGATGTGTGTATTGAGCGACAGTTTTCTTAGTGGTACTTTACGCTTCTTGCAGGGGGTAACAGGATGATTTATAATTTAAGCATATTTTATAATAAAATATCATATGTCTGTAGCAAAGTAAAAATCTCGCTCTTTTCATTGTGTTTAGCTCACTTCAGTCGAAGCTCAAGTGAGCTTTTCTGATCGAAAAGTGACCGGCGTCTGTCTGTCGTTTGTTGTTTGGAAACTTTTCACATTTTCGACTTAATTCTTCTCCAGAACCACATAAGCCAATTTAAACCAACCTGCCACAAGGCATCCTTTGGTGAAGGGGATTAATTTTAGTTTTTTCAAATGAAAGGCCACGCCTTCTTTCAAGAAGAGAGAATTTAAAAAAAATAACACAACAGGGGATTTAAGTTTCATTCAAGATTGTTAAACACAAGACCCCGGTGGTAGGATGGGGCCACAATGAAATATGAAGATAACGAATAGTATTGAAAGTCCAATGAAACGATACAAATTTGGAGCAGAGCAAACACGGACCTCAAATTTAGAGGTGGGATCAGGTGCCATGGGGGGAGGGGGGATGAGCATCCCTAGAAGATCAATCTTTTACATAGAAATATATAGATCTAGGGAAAAACCTTTTTTTAAAGTCATGATTATGCAAAGAAATATGGAAGCATCCTCAGTTAGTGTAGATTCGAATTTGTTCAAATCATCCCCCAGGGATAGGTTGGGACCACTTCTTTGAACTTTTTAATACTGAACTGATTTCTGCTTTTTTGTAGCCAGTGTTCTTAGGTAAGCTATGTGGCCCATTGGCCTCTTGTTTAATGTCATTCTTTAAGAAGTATTCAACTAAACAAAACCTGTTCAACAGGTGTTGATTTTTATTATCCTACAACTATATTTTCCATTTAGAAAAAAATTCTAGTGCATCGTCGTGAAGTAATGTTATTGTCACTTGTTTGCAGTTCGAAGAAATCGATTCCTTTCAAACAAGCTATTAAGGACATACGCAACATAGTTTGAACTTTATTGTCTTTTTCCTTGGAGTTGAAGAGTTCCAATACTTAAAGGAACTGTGTGCTAAATTTTAATGTCTATATATGCTATTGTACACTTCTTCTAAAACAAGTTTGGATAAACAAAACATCTAGAATATATGTTTAGTAATTTTTGTATATTTTTCTTTGAATTATACAAGAATTTTCATCAATTGATATCTTTTCAAAACCCCTGGTAATGCATGCTGATTTTTTGTCTACGAACATCTGATAGCACTATAATCTTAAATTAAGAATATCTCGAAAAAGTATCAGTAGGTAAGGTACGTTGCATATGTCCTTAACAAGCCTTGGTCTTTATCAAGCTAGCTCAAACCAATGACGTTTTCTTAAGAAAATATATTCATATGTTAGTATGGTAGAAAGAATTTATAGTGAATTTTGATCTGTCTAGTACCCTCTTAATCATTGATACTTTTATATAAATTCGACTCTCCATGTGCGAGACTTCATTATGATCCTACTTGGAACACACAACACATGTTATGTATACTGTGAGTTAGTGTAAGGCGGGCATGGTAGCGAGCCACATATAGCCATCACTGGGTAAAATAAACGACCATTCAGATTATGCTGGCGGGCCCCTTCTGTTAGGTATTCTGCATTTTCATGGAGACATAAATACTCCGATGGTGATCGTCCGTCCGTGGTGCTCTGTGACGTCAAAAACCCGCGATACTGCACGTTCCAGCCACTGGGGCAGGTTGTTTTTGATGCAATCATTAGAATGACACTGGAATGATCCACAAGACATACTGCACACGGCACGTCATCATCCAGAGCATAATTCTTGTACGTGAACTGGTATTCACTTCCAAATAATTGTGCATACCCTTCTTTGCTAGTAGGATAGTTAGAGGGGGCGTGGTCAGGGTTGTGGGTAAGGCACAGAGTATTTGCTCCACCACCACCATGGTTGTATTGTGCTCCCGCACTTATTCCTAAAATCGACAAAATTACTTTATATTGATTTAAATTTTTAAAATTGTTATATTTAACATTCAAATTTAGTGTAAATTGCAATATGTGGGAGGATATATAAAAATTTTCGAACGAGCTGCTAAGGGTCAGCTTTCGGATAATATAATCCGTTAATTGTTAATTTTCGTACAAAAACGCATATCTGAAATGAATTTTCTCAAATATAGATTGAATGATGAGATTTTAAGAAAAAGTTGCTTCTAAACCACATTCCTCGTGATGTCTTCCATATAGGAAGATTATTTGCATGATTATGTCGTTATGTACATGTATGGGATTACAAATTCAAGGTCACAGCTTAACTATGTAAAGACGCTACCTAAATATGCAATCTGGAATGATATGCTAGTCTAGCAAATTACAAAGGAAAGAACTAACAGAATTTTTTAGGTCAGATATTAAAAAGATGGCGACCCTGCTAATGACTTCCTTTCACATAACATACTTAATTACAGAAACCATTTTTTTTCTTCATCTTATGGAATAATATGTATGTTTACATATGCGGTTTTGTTCGAAAATTAATTATAATCTAACTGCAGAACTTTAGCGTTATGGTTTTGTATTTTGTAGGTTTGTTTGTTTTATTTGAACCAGAGACATTACATCTCATAGGTATACAAAATATGTACATATATATTTATACATAAGCTTTGCACAGGATAAGTGTAGTATATGCTATACAATATACATTAAATGTGGCAATTACATAAACAATAGCATTTAATGTATTATCACTTCTTATTGTACACTATTTAAAACATCATTTCTTAATTGATAAGAAAAATACAGAAATTTACCTAGGTTACATAGTTCTTTAGTATTTGTGGAACTCAGTAACTGTACTAATTTAAAAACTGATGGTTTTTTAAAATAATAACTCTTGATATATTTAATTCTTAGTTCTTCATATCGAGGACATTTTAATACAAAGTGAAATTCGTCCTCTATCTCATCTGATATACATATTTCACATTTTCTATCTTTTCTTTCTATGTTACAATACCTTCCCCTCTCTATCTTTAAATCATGCGCTGATAGTCTTAAACGACTAATTAATAGGTATTCTATACTTTGAATGTAATGGTTTTCTTAAATACGTCTGTAGTACAACATTATCCACTACATGTTGATATAAAAAATATTTAGGAGAATTACAAATTCTTGCCATAATATCTTGTTTATAACCGTCATACATTCTTTGAAATACGATGTTCAAAGAATTATTATCAATACAATTGCTTTATACATGTCAGTTAAACCAAGCCTTTGAAATTCCTTCTTAATGTTTACAATCCATTCATCATTATTTTCCACCATATCTTGATAACATGATTGTAAAATACAATTATCACTGTTTTTTAATTTCAGTCTTTGACCATAACGCTACAGATCCGTGATGTACCATATTTTTCATAGATTTCTAATTGATTAATTTAAGAAAGAGAAACAAAAATATGTATAAAACTTAAGATTGTCCTCGTAATGTCTCGTTAACAAAGTACACGTACTTTGTAATTTACAAAAATTACTCACCGGAGTACACTGTTGTCGTCCCGTTCAGTTGCGGACAATTTTTCTTCCCCCATACTGTGTATGTAGTCATGGATCCTTTTCAAAAAAAAAATAACGAATTTACCATGGCTTTTATAAACAAACTTTCTTAAGTAAAGGTCATTCTTGAAAATCACTTTAGCCCAAAATGTCTCCCGTATTATGCGAGAAATTGATAGTACACACTCCGACATCATCTTTCTCTAATAACCAGATCAAAGTACATTGTAATATATATATATTCACTCAGTCCATTGTATTTTCAATTGTAACTTTGATTCTTGTATAGAGAGGGTATTTATAGGCATTGCCTGTTAACCAACCTTTTCATTATTTTAAATATAAATAGTTTAAATCAAAGTACATGTAGATAATGAACATGATGTGTTGAAAGATTTATATTGAGTAAGACATAGAATTTACTTCAAACATCATAAATTATTTATATTTGAAAAAAAAATTGTTAAGGCTTTTTTCGATTTCCT